ATCTAGAAAATCTTTTAAACGTAAACATTTTTAACTCACTTGTTATCGTAATTAATTTATTATCTACGTATACTATTATTCTTTTAATAAAAAAAATCTGCAGAATACGCAAATAAAAAAAATCTTTTCAGAATACGCAAATGCAGAAGAGTCACGGTTTGACAACGATGCAACAGCATCAAGCAAACGCGATGCAGTCGTCGAACCAAAACTTCCAAAGTCCCCAGCAGCTGCTGCACCAGAATCAGACGCACCACCAAAGCCCAAGGTTCACCCAACAGCACGCTCAGAATATGCAGAGGCAACTGATGCAGCAGATGCATCAGCAGCAGCAACAGTTGGTTGGTCAGAACGCGCAGAGGAACGTGCCACAGAGTTTCTACTCGAGCAGCGTGTCATACCAGCAGTACCAGCAAGCCAGGCAGGCGATGTCCAGATCTCAGATCGACCTCCCGAGCACCTCGAGACAAGCCCAAGAGCTCAGACTGTCTGGACAGGAGGTCTACTACCATTACGCCCAGGGCAGGCCCAGGTACGGGGTGCCGCAGCTTTACATGAAGAACGAGGGGGCCAGTCAGGAAACGGAGTTCCAGAGGAGGAACTCGGCTAAGGGGATCGAGAAGGCTGCATCACAACCGCAATTGTGTTACGAGGATGAGACGGTCAATGAGCAGTCGAGGAACGTGGATGGCGTAAAAGGAATCACGGTGGATCCTTTGGACAAGGAAAGGTATGCAGAATTTGTAGTCTTCAAATATAATAAAAATTAATACAATATTTTATACAATCGTACATGAAATGAAAGTTTCGCTCTATGACACATTTTTCAAATTTATTTTGTAAATGTTTTACTTATTTCAAAGAAACATACAATTAATTAAATAATTTATATAACTCTTGGAAATAGATATGAGATCACTGTCGAAGATCGGGTCAGCGAATCGCAAAGACGAGACGAATATCGTCCGGAAACCAGCTTTGGGATTCACAGAGAGGACGCATTGAGATGTTCGAAGAAGGAACAGGACCAAGTGTACGTACCCAATCAGGAGAACCAAGAAGCGGAAGGCACGTCGTCCTCGGTCGCTAAGAGGATCGAGGAGTTGCAGAAACGAGCCGAGGAGAGTCATTACAACGCAAAAGCGTCGAAGGACGGCGTGGAATCTGATAGAACTTGTCCCGGTGGGAAAATTGCGTTAGGTGAGTCGAGAAACTCTTTGATGAACTTTCGTAGGAATTTTAATTGATTGACGTAATGTTCCAAAGAACCAATTAGGTAACATCAACTTTCTTGTTTCCTTACTTTAATTATTTAAACAATGTATTATAAGATTATCTTTCTTACTAATTAAGACTAATTTAATTCATTTAGTATAATGACCAATTTAAATCTTACGGAAGAACTTATTTTTATTCTTGTATTTAATAATTCAATTAATTTATTTTA